GTAGCCTCTGCCACATGCTCCCCCTGCTGAGACACACTGCCTAACCTTTAGCCTGAATTTCATGGACTCAGCCAACTTTGGCCAGAAACCATTGAGTTAACAAGCCAAAATAAAACCTTCCTCCAAAGGTTGTTTCTCTAAGGTGTTTGTCACAGTGATAAAAACTATCACAGGAAGGCAGGCGAGGGTCCCCAAACCCTGTTCACCAATACAACCGAATTGCCCTCCTCACGTTGTGACCCTCACAATTCTCCATGCGGAAGCTCGTTCTTCCCTAAGTCTCCAGGGACATCCCCACAGAAATGCCACTTCTGCTTGCTTCTGAGATGCTTCTAGGGGAGCCGAAGGAAGCCAGCAATCAGCTTCCATTCCTTGTCCAATGAGAAGGGGCCTGCAACACAGGAGGGCAGGCACTGTTCCCACCCACGACACGAAGCTGCATCTACCACGTGGCCTCCTTTGGGCACCTGCGTGCAGGAGAGGTTATCCCAGACACTCCTGTTCAACCATGAATCAGGACTTCTAAATGAAGCCACGAGCAATCTCAGGTGAATTTGAATTTGCTGACTATTGTCTTAGAATCTGCATCTTAAGTGACCAAACCTGTGGGATGCTTTGGGCCCAGAGTCTTCCATCCTTACCACAGGCCTCAACTCTACTCCGTAGTGCATCTTCCAGGCAGGTTTCCTGGGCCATACCCCACCTGCTCTAGATCCCTCCCTGAAATTCCTCAGCACCTTGGACTTCTGATATGTCTCAGAATAGATTGCTCCCATGGGCCTATGTCCCCGCTCTGCTCCCTGGTTCCTCGAGGGCAGAGACCGTGGGACACCTACATCTGTGGCTCACACATTGCGAGCCCTCTGTGAATGCCTGCTCACTGAGTAGAGGATGAACACACAGATGCCTAAAATCCCTGTGCTGGGCTGGGAGGAAAAGGACGCCCACACTCTGTCCCGCTTATTGCCCAATCCTGGCCGAGGACATGCTAAGTCCATGAAGCATCACCAATTCATGGAACAGACACAGAAAGACATGACTTAGCTCTACTTCCTCTTCTTTCCTGAGGACAGGTTCAACTTCAAATGACTTGTATGATTTCTTAGGGCTGTGGGCAACCCCTCCCCGCTGCCGGTTTCACATGGCCCCTGACTGCTTCTGTGGCACTGGCTGCAGCATCAAGCTTGGCGGGCTCATTTGAGAGTGCCCAGACTCACTGCACTGACCTCCTCACCTTAACAGAACTATCAGTGAGGACAGACAAGGAGAGGTGGGTCCGGGGGGGGGGGGGGGGGGGGGGGCAGGGGGGGGGGGGGGG